GGGGGGGCGAGGTGTGGGGGGTTTGAGGTGGGTGCGAGCGCAGGTGGGTGGGCTGCTGCTGAGAGGGGCCAAGGACTAACCCGAGGATGGAGAGTCTGAGGCGGCGCCGCATTCGCCGAGCAGCTGCAAACGCACATGCTCACACGATAACGCACAAGCAAACGCACACCCGCATGCACGCAAAACGCACCCGGAGCACCACAGTCTGCCAGCAATGCCCAGCTGCCCCCGCTCCAATGGGAGGTCACAGCAAGCTGCCGCAAACACAGCGCCCACGGCCCCTCCTTTCCAGCGCGCACCGTAGCATACGCCCCTGCTGTGCGCGTGCGCCAGGAACCGCAGCACGCTCAGCATGATTGACGCCGCCTCGCGCTCGCTCAGGCGGCCGCCCTCAGCGACCGCCTGCAGGCCCGCCACGTCGCCGCCGCTGCAGAGCTCCTGGGCTATGTAGATGCTGTCAGCATCCTGCAGGGGCCGCAGACGGGGTGTGGCCGGAGGGGGTTGGGGCCGGACGGAAGAGGCGCCGGCAGGCGACAGGTTGCGGGAGCGGTGAAAGAGGGGTGGGGGTGGCGTGGATTCGGGGCGGATTGCGACGGGACGGTTGTACGCGCTCGCGCGTGTGCAAGGGGCCGAGTGACAGCAGCAGGGCGACGCAGGGAGTGGGGGCGCCGCGCCGCGCCGCGGCAGAAGCGAGGGGACACAACGGCCGCCCATGACACTGGGGCAGCCAGCGGCGCCGCGCGCCGCGCACCTCGTAAACGCCGTAGACGCGCGCGGCGATGGGGCTGCCCTCGAGCGCCTGGCAGAACGCGACCTGGGGCCGCGACAGGGGGGGCCGGCAGGTCAGCCATCACAAAATCGTCGCCGCGCCCGCTGGCGCCGCCGCGGATGCATCCGCTCGATGCAAACCTCCACCACTGCGCTTTCCTCCAGATCGTGCGCCCGGCCACCCGCCGTGGCCTGGGCTGGGTTTGCCGCCCCTTTATGAGCCAGCACCCGCCCCAGCCTCCTCCTGGCCGCAGGGCCCGCCGTGCAGCCTGCCGGCCGCGGCCGCGGTAGCCGCCTCGCAGCTGCTGCGCCCGCCCGCGCCCGCACCCACCTCCTGGAGGATGGTCTCCCGCTTGTCGCGGCCGCCCTGGCTCTTGGCCAGCACCTTGATAGCGACGCGGCGCCCTGTCTCGTGCTCCACCGCGCTGCGCACCTCCCCAAAGCTGCCACGGCCGAGGAGGTCCCCCATTTCGAACGCATCCGCGAACGCTCCCGGCTCGACGGCCGGCGGCGGCGGGGGGCGCGTGAGCGCGGCCGGGGGCAGGGGCTGGTGCGGCGAGGGGGGCGCGGGCGGTGCGGCGGCGGCGGCGGCGGCGCCGAGGCGTAGCTCTGGGTGGAAGGGGCCGGCCAACAGGTCGGCCAGTGCGCCGGGCGGCATGGGGGACACGGGCGCGACCACTGTGGCGGTGCCGTGCGCCGCGATCTTGCCGCCGCGCGGGCTGGTGGCGGCGCCGTTTGGGACGGCTATGTCGCCATCTCCGGGCAGGGCGGCCGGGGCGGGGCCGGGCGCGGGTGCACGGGCCCCTCGAGGGCTCGCCCGCGCCGCGGCGGGCGGCGCCAGCGGCGCGCGGGAGAGCTGGCCGCTGGATGGGGTGCGGCAGAGCTGGCCGCCAGACGCGATGCGCGTCAGGGAGGCCGCCATGGCAGGGGCCGCAGCTATGACACTGCGCGCCGTTCGCACTGCGGCGAGCGAGAGCGGCGGGCTTGGCCCTGCTGCCGACTGTGCTGCACGACGGAGTGCGAGCTTTGCTGCAGGACTTGACAAGCAATCAGGTATAGGCTGAGCGTGTCCGCCGGCCCACGGCCGTCAATAAACGCCTGCAAGGTGGGATTCTGTCAGGCAAGCGTGGTGGCAGCGAGTACGACGAGTACCCTGCAGCCCTCTAAGGAAACGCACCCAACGCAGATTCTGTCTATTGGTGTCGCTACTCGCAGAGCTCGACGAGACAATTTGTCCTCTGGCCGGCAATGAATGACGATGAGATGCAATCACTACGGTAAACGTCAAGGAGACTCTGCAGAACGTCGTCAAGCAATGTACCAGTCCACATATCTTGACCGTGTGTCGCGCGGCTGTTCGAAACCCTGATTTCTTGGATTTGCATCGCCACCTCCGCCGGCCACATGATCAATCACGCCAACGACATATCACACAAGCTAAAACTCTACACAAGCTCCGCTCAGCTGGCAGCTGAGAGCTCGTGGCCGCGCCACACAGGCGGGGGCGCGCCAACACATCACCGCCCGCCTGTGTCATTGCGCTTTGATCACGATGCACCGCGGCAGCCGGCGCCCGCTCGCGCCTGATCTATTGAATGGTGCTGGCAGCCTCGGGCTCGCCCTCTTTGCCAGAGAGAGCGGCGGCCGCGCAGATTGGCAAACGCTGCAGCGCTCCAGGTGAGTCGCCGCTCCCATCGAAGCAGCTCAGCTGCTAGGCTCGCCGCCCGCGACCGCGGCCCTTGACGCTCATGCATCGCAACCGCCTGGAGCATGGCTGCCGCTGCTGCCGCCGCTTTGGCAGTCGTCCTCGGCCCGCTGCCCAAGCGGTTGCCAGCTGCGCCACACGAACACGAGTCTCACAACACACGCGCCTCGCCGTCCCCACCTTTGGCCCCACAGGCTCTCCTCCCTCGCCCTCAGCGCCACCACCCAGCTGGACTCCGACGCCGGCGGCGCGCGCGGGGAGGTGCTGTGGCTTGACTTGGATGCGGTCGAGTCGCGGTACCTGCTGGCAGCGGCAGGGGACGGCGCAATCGAGATCTACGACGTGCAGGTGATCTGGTGATCTGGCGATCTGTGCTGATCTATGATTTTGCTAGAGACGGTCTGCTTTGTAAGTGTGTGTGTGTGTGTGCGTGCGTGCGTGTGTGCGTGCGTGTTCGCGTGCCCACGTGCGTTTGCATGTGTGAGGACGTACCTGCCTTGCGGCGACCGTTCGCAGGCTTGTCGCCGCTTCAAAGCCAACTGTGCCGGGCACGCGTGCGGAGGCCGAGTCAACCCGGAAGTCAGCCGCCGCAAGCGTAGCGCAGACACGGCCGAGCCCAAGCGCGCGAAAACGGGCATGCGCCCGCCCCACCCCCGCCGCGCGCAGGCCGCCAACGCAGGCAGCGGCCACGAGCGCCGCTGCCTGTTGCCAGTCGGCTCCGTGCGCCAGCGCACGCACCCGGCGTCTGCGCATCGCTTCGCGGCGACATGCGTGGCCTGGTATCCCGTGGACAGCGGAATGTTTGTTTCGGGGTCGGCCGACAAGACGCTCCGCCTCTGGGACACAAACACGTGAGCTCGGGGCCGGCC